CTATTATATGTTTGTTTGTACAGTTGTGACCCACTCCATTTTACCTAGCAGTTGTTTGTTTCTATAGCAACTATTATATGTTTGTTTGTACAGTTGTGACCCACTCCATTTTACCTAGCACTTGTTTGTTTCTACAGCAACTATTATATGTTTGTTTGTACAGTTGTGGCCCACTCCATTTTACTTAGCACTTGTTTGTTTCTATAGCAACTATTATATGTTTGTTTCTACAGTTGTGACCCACACCATTTTACCTAGCACTTGTTTGTTTCTACAGCAACTATTATATGTTTGTTTGTACAGATATGACCCACTCCGTTTTACCTAGCACTTGTTTGTCTATTTGTAGAGTAATGATTAAGTAATTAATTGTTTTGTAGAGCTGAATCCATTTTCTTACATGGAATATCACTGACCACAGTCTATTAATTTAAATACTTACAATCAATGCAGGTGGCGCTATAAATGCCCAAGTTATTTTCCAGTACACGTTGACAGACGACTTTAACATAAAACTGACGTCATCGGAAAACACTAGAAAACCTGCAAACAAGTACAATAAATTAAGCATTTCCCCATAAATATACATTATGATTAACAAATTGGGTAAAAAAAATAATTTACCTTGTCAAGTGACGCCTCACGAGCTCTTGAATAAATAGTCAAACGATTATTAAACAGCTTGAACTGGATAAAAAAAATTTAGGAGAATGAATACGACAATCATGCTGCTAGTAAACCGGCTAACTTACCTATTTTCACTGTATCCATGCTTCAAATTATATAATTCTGAATATTGAAAATAATTCTTGGTTACATTTCTTTAAGTTTTTATTGATAATAAAACTATCTGAGAATAATTCAATAAAGAGGGCGTGTTGCCCCTGCTGTTTTGTGACGTAATATTTTTTGTCTATTTTTTCGAGATTTTTCTAACGCAGGATTGAGAATTTGTAAAGGGGAATTATGTTTGTTTCTGGGGGTAATTGTACCTATCCGTCCCTTGTTTTGAACTGATAGGCTAGAGCGAAGTCAGCTAGTCAAAAGTACCCACTGCCAATTCTCAGGATACACTTGTCTGACAGAATAGTGGGATTTCATTGTCACATGTAGAGTCTATCAATGAACCTAAAATGCAAAGTCACAAACCCTCAGGTTCACAACTGAAATATTGTTTGCTTGTAGTTAAGCACAAAGCCACACAATGGGCTATCTGTGCTCTGCCCACCACGGGTATCGAAACCCGGTTTCTAGCGTTGCAAGTCGGCTGTGCAACTAGGGGGCCTCAAATAGTATGGAATGAAAATAAATCTTTCAGATGAAAGGAATGAAACAGAAATAAAGATTAAACGTTTATAGCGGAAAGTAATTTACACAACAAGAGCAACTATCACTTTTACCGAACACACTCTCACAACGTTTAGTATGTAATCGTGTTTAAAGCAAGAACTGCAACATATTTCCAAAACAACGGTATTTATTTTAAATTGAAACTTATGTTATTTTAGTTTATCTCCATGAGAAAGGATTAACATTAAAAAAAACCTGTATTATCGGATACATTTCAAGCTTCAATTGTTGAAATATAGTTACTTCTTTCCTGAGAAATATCAAAAAGGAGATTTTGAATAATTCTAAACTGTATGTCACTAATCATCGTGCTGGGAATATTATTTGACCCATTAAACTTCCATCTAGACAAGATGAAAACTTCTGACTTACCATAATAACACAGTACATCACTAAACAGATAAGGTGGAACTTCTGACTTACCATAGTAACACAGTACATCACTAAACAGATAAGGTGGAAACTTCCGACTTACCGTAGTAACACAGTACATCACTAAACAGATAAGGTGGAAACTTCTGACTTACCATAGTAACACAGTACATCACTAAACAGATAAGGTGGAAACTTCTGACTTACCATAGTAACAGGGTACATCACTAAACAGATAAGGTGGAACTTCTGACTTACCATAGTAACACAGTACATCACTAAACAGATAAGGTGGAAACTTCCGACTTACCATAGTAACACAGTACATCACTAAACAGATAAGGTGGAAACTTCTGACTTACCATAGTAACACAGTACATCACTAAACAGATAAGGTGGACCTTCTGACTTACCATAGTAACACAGTACATCACTAAACAGATAAGGTGGAAACTTCTGACTTACTGTAGTAACACAGTACATCACTAAACAGATAAGGTGGACCTTCTGACTTACCATAGTAACACAGTACATCACTAAACAGATAAGGTGGAAACTTCCGACTTACCATAGTAACACAGTACATAACTAACCAAACAAAGTGGATACTTCTGACTTACCATAGTAACATAGTACACCACCAACAACCAGATAAGGTGGATACTTCTGACTTACCATAGTAACACAGTACACAACTAACAACCAGATAAGGTGGATACTTCTGATTTACCATAGTAACACAGTACACCACTAACCAAACAAAGTGGATACTTCTGACTTATCATAGTAACACAGTACACCACTAACCAAATAAAGTGGATACTTCTGATTTACCATAGTAACACAGTACACCACTAACCAAACAAAGTGGATACTTCTGATTTACCATAGTAACACAGTACGCAACTAACAACCAGATAAGGTGGAAACTTCAGACTTACCATAGTAACACAGTACATCACTAACCAAACAAAGTGGATACTTCTGATTTACCATAGTAACACAGTACATTACTAACCAAACAAAGTGGACACTTCTGATTTACCATAGTAACACAGTACACCACTAACCAAACAAAGTGGATACTTCTGATTTACCATAGTAACACAGTACACCACTAACCAAACAAAGTGGATACTTCTGACTTACCATAGTAACACAGTACACCACTAACCAAACAAAGTGGATACTTCTGACTTACCATAGTAACACAGT